TAGATGCGTCCTTAAGTCTTGTTACGAGGAAAAAAATATAGATGCTCTGAGAATCCAGGACCAGAGCTGTAACGTACAAGCATAATGGCCTCTAAAGCCTTATTTGTGAGATGGATATATTAAGCCAGAATCAACACCGTGATAATAATACCTTTGACAGTGAAGTATCTGTGTAAATATGTACGAATGATATGTCGACCTCTCCTCCTCCACAGATTTTGATTTGCATGCCACCAGAGACTGTAGGTAAGTGTACAGTGACCTGGGGAGGCGTCACACGGTACTGATGTGCGAAGTGACGTTTAAGTTGGCCAAAATATGAATAAAAGAGAAAACTCAATTTGATGATTTTTCCGTAACTTCTGGCCGCTCGTAAAATCAACAACATATCAGGAATTTCAAGTGTAACTGATGTGTTCTGACGCGTATAGTAATAACCAGTTAAAGTCGAGTTTTAAGGCCAGGTATTATGATACATTTAATTCCCTGTATACAATATTTTTTTTATTATTTTTTATTAATTGGTCAGGTAGTGGTACATTCCGCGTACATCAACGTATCCATCACCCCACACTTCACGCGGCACCTGGAGCCAAAATTGGGTGGGGGGGGGTCCAATATGAGTAGACACGAAGGAAAAACATTTAGTTTTGACCAAATTACTTGTTTATTATTGTGCCTATATATCAGGTACAGTACCTAGCTCAAACAGTGCTTGAGCAATCACTGAGTAACTCCCACCCTTATGTACTGGACCAGTGTATGTCTACCAAACCAAAGAAAAACACGTACTACTGGAGAGGAAAGAGATAAAGAAAGAAACACCCAAGACCTAAAAAGATTAAAAACAAAAGATGAAAACAATAAGGAGTATCACAATAAATCAGACAAGAGGTATATAGCAGTGATAAGTTACACCACACTATCTGGTAATTGCCTCACACATCAGCTGTCGATGAGAGAACGAGGTAAAACGTCTGGCAAAAACACGGAGACAAACGTTTTGGCCATAACGTTGCGGCGCTCCACTTGTCAACGTTCTACGGGGAAAAATGGTCAGAGAATACACATCGATCCGGGCCAATTAAACCACCAGATCCGTTCTCTTGGGTCCCAAAGGCTGAGAGGTTCCTACGTTGAATTTTCTTCTTAACTGGATATATAAGAGCGCCTGTTAGTGGTGAACTTAAGATGAAAATATTTATAATTCCCAAAGTGGCATCAACTTTACATTGAAACTACCTTAACTACACCATTCACTTTGTACCAATTAAGGCACAAATTTATGCTGAGAATCTTAACTAATACCTGCCCTTGTATTTATTTATTTATTTATTTATTTTCTCACATTAAGTTATATTTGCTGTTCATTAACTGTCTATATGTCTGTAATTATAAGATGAGACTCGGTGTTATGTTGTTACTGGAGAGAGAACACGTAAAGACCTCACTGAATTGTATGTTTATTGTCAATATCCTGGTGAGTTGGGTGTGTGTGTGTGTGTGTGTGTGTGTGTGTGTGCTGGTAGGCAGCTGCCACCAACACTGCCAACATCTTGCCACCACCACCACCACCACTAGCACTGCCAACATCTTTGCCACCACCATCACCGCCACTAACACTGCCAACATCTTTGCCACCACCATCACCGCCACTAACACTGCCAACATCTTTCCACCACCATCACCGCCACTAACACTGCCAACATCTTTGCCACCACCATCACCGCCACTAACACTGCCAACATCTTTGCCACCACCATCACCGCCACTAACACTGCCAACATCTTTGCCACCACCATCACCGCCACTAACACTGCCAACATCTTTGCCACCACCATCACCGCCACTAACACTGCCAACATCTTGCCACCACCATCACCGCCACTAACACTGCCAACATCTTTGCCACCACCACCGCCACTAACACTGCCAACATCTTTGCCACCACCACCACCACACTCAGCCCCGCGTCTCTATTAAAAAGACGAATAAACGGGACCTAGAAGACCTTAGTATTCTGCCGCACCTCGGAACAAACGCCAGTGTCTTTTAAGCCGGCCTCGACTGCTCATATTCTTGGCGGGTTTGTGATGCGTCCTGATTCTCCCACCTTCTTCAGCATCATTAATGTTGAAAGGAAAATGGAATTCGAGATTAAGACGTCGAGATGCACCGGTGGGAAGTGCATTAGGTGAGGAAAGTCGCTCTTGGTGTTATTTACCATGTTATTTTTTTGGGTGGTGTGTGTTGAGTGATTGTTCCTGAGGTGTGTGTGTGTGTGGTGGAGTGATTGTTCCTGAGGGTGTGTGTGTGTGTGTGTGTTGAGTGATTGTTCCTGAGGTGTGTGTGTGTGTGTTTTATGATTGTTCCTGAGGTGTGTGAGTGATTGTTCTTGAGGTGTTGGAGTGATTGTTCCGGTGTGTGTGTGTGTGTGTGTGCTGAGTGATTGTTCCGAGGTGTGTGTGTGTTGAGTGATTGTTCCTGAGGTGTGTGTGTGTGTGTGTGTGTGTGTGTGCTGAGTGATTGTTCCTGAGGTGTGTGTGTGTGTGGAGGATTGTTCCTGAGGTGTGTGTGTGTGTTGAGTGATTGTTCCTGGAGGTGTGTGTGTGTTGAGGATTGTTCCTGGAGGTGTGTGTGTTCTGGTGCTGAGTGATTGTTCCTGAGGTGTGTGTGTGTGTGCTGAGTGATTGTTCCTGAGGTGTGTGTGGTGCTGAGTGATTGTTCCTGAGGTGTGTGTGTGTGTGTGGAGTGATTGTCCTGAGGTGTGTGTGCTGAGTGATTGTTCCTGAGGTGTGTGTTGAGTGATTGTTCCTGAGGTGTGTGTGTGTGTGCTGAGTGATTGTTCCTGAGGTGTGTGTGTGTCTGTGTGCTGGTGATTGTTCCTGAGGTGTGTGCGTGTGTGTGTTGAGTGATTGTTCCTGAGGTGTGTGTGTGTGCTGAGTGATTATTCCTGAGGTGTGTGCGTGTGTGCGTGCGAGTCGTCTACATCAGGCACGCACTCAGGGAAATGTTACTCCCAGGGCAATTTGCAGCTGGGAAAATATTCCACTTTTGATGGCACGGAGGCAGGACAATATTGCACTCGTTTTGTTATGCATACAGGACAAAATTGCATCCTTAATGTAATTTGTCCACGAATACTGTACCTGTGACGCCATGACTTGATGTACACTTCTTGTCATGTGTCCAGGACAATATTATACTGGTGTTTGTGTCCAGGACAATATTGTGTCCTTCTGTATTGTGTCCAAGAAAATATTATGGTTTGTGTGGCCATGGTGGTTATAGTCCGTGTGGCCATGGTTGCAGTCTTAGTGGCCATAATGTGTAGTCCGTTTGGCCATGGTGAAAGTGTACTGTGTGGCCATGGCTCGTGTGGGCAAAAGTGCTCGTTAAATATTAGTGAGGAGGTGTGGTGTGACGCTGAAGCTTAGTGAGGAACTCCGAGGAGGAACAAGAGAAGGAAGAGGAGGAGGAACAAGAGGGAGGAAGAGGAGGAGGAAGAAGAGAAGGAAGAGGAGGAGGAACAAGAGAAGGAAGAGGGAGGAGGAACAAAGAGAAGGAAGAGAGGAGGAACAAGGAGGGAAGAGGAGGAAGAAGAGAGAAGGAAGAGGAGGAGGAACAAGAGAAGGAAGAGGGAGGGAGAAGGAAGGAGAGGAGGAACAAGAGAAGGGAAGAGGAGGAGGAACAAGAGAAGGAAGAGGAGGAAACAAGAGAAGGAAGAGGAGGAGGAAACAAGAGAAGGAAGAGGAGGAGGAACAAGAGAAGGAAGAGGAGGAGGAAGGGAGGAGGAACAAGAGAAGGAAGAGGAGGAGGAACAAGAGAAGGAAGAGGAGGAGGAACAAGAGAAGGAAGAGAGGGGAGGAAACAAGAGAAGGAAGAGGAGGAACAAGAGAAGGAAGAGGAGGAGGAACAAGAGAAGGAAGAGGAGGAGGAACAAGAGAAGAAAAGAGGAGGAGGAACAAAGAGAAGGGAAGAGGAGGAGGAACAAGAGAAGGAAGAGGGGAGGAACAAGAGAGGAGGAAAAGAGAAGGAAGAGGAGGAACAAGAGAAGGAAGAGGGAGAAGCAAGAGAAGGAAGAAGAGGAGAGAACAAGAGAAGGAAGAGGAGAAGGAACAAGAGAAGGAAGAGGAGGAGGAACAAGAGAAGGAAGAGAGGAGGAACAAGAGAAGGAAGAGGATGAGAAGCAAGAGAAGGAAGAGGAGGAGAACAAGAGAGAAGGAAGAGGAGGAACAAGGAAAGGAAGAGGAGGAGGAACAAGAGAAGGAAGAGGAGGAGGAAGAAGAGAAGGAAGAGGAGGAGGAAGAAGAGAAGGAAGAGGAGGAGGAAGAAGGAGGGAAAGGAAGAGGAGGAGGAAGAAGAGAAGGAAGAGGAGGAGGAACAAGAGAAGGAAGAGGAGGAAGAAGAGAAGGAAGAGGAGGAAGAAGATAAGGAAGAGGAGGAGGAAGAAGGAGAAGGGAAGAGAGGAGCAAGAGAAGGAAGAGGAGGAGGAAGAAGAGAGGAGGAAGAAGAGAAGGAAGAGGAGGAGGAAGAAGAGAAGGAAGGAGGAGGAGGAGCAAGAAAAGGAAGAGAGGAGAAGAAGAGAGGAAGAGAGGAGGAAGAAGAGAAGGAAGAGGGAGGAGGAAGAAGAGAAGGAAGAGGAGAGGAAGAAGAAGAGAAGGAAGAGGAGGAGAACAAGAGAAGGAAGAGAGGAGGAGAAGAGAAGGAAGAGGAGGAGGAAGAAGAGAAGGAAGAGGAGGAGGAAGAAGAGAAGGAAGAGGAGGAGGAACAAGGAAAGGAAGAGGAGGAGGAAGAAGAGAAGGAAGAGGAGGAGGAACAAGAGAAGGAAGAGGAGGAGGAAGAAGATAAGGAAGAGGAGGAGGAAGAAGAGAAGGAAGAGGAGGAGGAAGAAGATAAGGAAGAGGAGGAGAAAAGAGAAGGAAGAGGAGGAGGAAGAAGAGAAGGAAGAGGTGGAGGAAGAAGATAAGGAAGAGGAGGAAGAAGGGCTACATTTTCACCTGGCCACAGTTACAACCTTCATGGCCACACGGATGACATCGTTCACACTGGCTACTTGAAGCCACAACGTTATTCTTGCTACAGGGGCCACCGAGACAGGCAACGATGGTGGCCATCTGGTAACTCACTATGGCAACACGAATTGTCATGGCCACACTTACTGTATGGAAGCTCACTATGTCTACACGATCACACGACCACGCAGGCAAGGTGGCCAGCGTGGCCCCTTAGTCAGAGTAGGGGGGAGGGGCGTGGAGGAGGGCCGCCGTAGGGGCTCACACGGAGGTAATTTCTCTCAGCGGAGGAAATTGGGAAGATTTTGGGCGTGATCAAGAGCATTCCATTCATCCAATTAAACATCTGACGCCCCTGATTTTCTCCCTATAATTACGCTCGATATCTCTCTTTGATGTATGTATTTAATCACCACCTGCTAGACCCTCATGCGCTACATTTAACTACACTGTCTTTAATCCATGATCTCGATATTTTCTCCAGCGATTTAAAACCCAAATTTTCCCAAATGAAATTAAGGCGATAAAATCCTACCGCCCCCCACCCAACCCCACCTCACCCAACCCCACCCCACCCCATCCCACCCTACCCCCTCCACCCCACCCTACCCCACCCCACCCACCACCCTACCCACCCCCCACCCACCCCATCCCAGTCCAGGAGATGGTCATTGTCGGTGACCTCCATCCAGCCTCCCCGAGAAACTGTTATGGCTCTTCTGTCTACCTGCTCTAAGGGTCAGTTTGTCCTGGGGTGTAGCCATTTCCAGGGTTTTAATGTCCTGGCGTTATATAGTCTGCGGTCAGCTGAGTTGATTTCTAGAACTTGGTCTCTGTATGTGGAGGTATTAGGAAGCACAACACACACACACACACACACACACACACACACACACACACACACACACACACACACACACACACACACACACACACACACACCAGAAAAGCGACATTTTTCAAACTGTGAAGCCATTCTCAATATGAATCTTAATTTCTCAACTGAACGAATACCATTTTTAAACTAACTCGACTCTAAAAAAAAAAAATTTATTCAGTAGAAAGGTTTGCCGAGATTCGTCGTCCCTGCCACTTTGATGTTCGTCAGTCACTCTAAAAAATGTTAATGTAATCAGAAACACTTGTAAATGTAATCAAAAGTAACTCATCGACTTTTTTTGGTTGGGTGGCGCGCACTGGATGTGAGAACCTGGTAATGTGTTTAGTTAAGTGTCACAAAATTGGGTATAGATAATAATACATGAATTGAAAGTTTTATTGACAATTTCACTGGACTTCATTAAAATGTTTTATTGCATACAGTTCCCAGCGGCACAATTTTTCTTTATATTGTTCGGTTCATTTTTGTGTTCAATAGACTTAGTTAACAGAGGTCATCTGCTGAAAAGAATTAACTACCACCAGTGTTTTTAGTTCTTGCATAATGATACATACTATTAAATTATTGTCCATGTTGAATGAATTTATCAGAAATGTGAAAATAATGTTTACTCGTTAGGTCTGGTCTCAATAGCCTGGTGGTAGAGTACATACACTAACGGGGTGATCCATTGTTGTCATAGGTGTGATATTAACAAGCTAGTTATAATACGACTTTATAAAGGGAAAGTTTTACAGGGTGACACAAGGTAATAATAAGGTCTTGGAATACAGTGACTTGGATATTATTGCTAAGACTTGTCAGTGTTACACAATAATACCTGTATTTATCTCGGTCAAATAACGATTTAAGAAGTGAGAGCAATAGTTGGTGAGTTGGACGTTCATCATCGAATAGAGAGAGAGAGAGGAAGAAACTTATTTATGGAGGGGTCATGGAGGGGTCATCAAGAACAGCAGGCACTGGTCTGGACAAAGCAGCTGGAAATATTATCACATTGGTTAATAATTATGTTTATAAACCTTTAGCCACTTAACACACAGTAGCCGGGAGCAACAATTACCTTACATTATCCTTCTTAATCGTTAACGTGTTGTGTTGTAGTTCTCTCCCGCCACTACGAGGCTTCTTCACCCAGGCATCAACAACACGTCATTTCCTGTAATTCACTCATAGTTTGTAGTTTGGCTATTAATAAATCCTGAAGTCTATTATAATTGTTTTTGTTATGCACACCACGAGAAGAACGCTTAGAAAATATACACTCCATACCCCGAGGCCTAAGGCAATATATATATTCTAGAATATCGTAGGCTAAAAAACCTACTCCAATTAATATTTCACTTTCTTTAATTAATTTCGGTGCCGCTGGCCAGATGGAGAGACAGATCAAACGGTTTATTTTTTGTTCAATACCACTGAAGACATTTATAGTTGCCGTATACTAATGAGATTTTTTCTAAAGTGAGGTAGTGTGATTTTTTATCCTGCCACGGTTGTCTGTTATTATTATTATTATTATTATTATTGTTAATATCATCATCATCATCATCATCATCACTAACGTGTTACAGTCCCCTTCTCACCCTAATTATGACGAAGGCTTCCTGTACGGCCGTATAGTACAGTAGCCGTTAGTCTGTTCTATAAGACCAAGAGTCCGGTCGATTTAACTGTGTCAGAGTCAGGGAGGTTTGACCATTTATTATTAAGTATAAATATGTAAAGATATATGATCAGCAATTTCCACTCACCTGCATCAGTGTGTTAGCTGGGAATTTGTATTTTTTTGCACCATGTGTCAAACTTATTCCCAGTCTGTATCCAGTCTAAGAGTAATTTTAAGACAATTATTCCAGACAGTCATGAACGAGAGGATGTGCTATTGATAGTTGCTATTATTTACATTTTAGTTTTGGCGGGAAATGAAATATGGTTCATATATGGTAAAATATGGTGTATTTTTATTTCGACTAGAGTTTTATTGTAGTCAAATTGATATTCTTTATAAATATTATTTAATTACACATGAGTGAAGGACACGACGAAGGTGACACAAATTATACGAGTGCATTTAATAGTGAACTTATTAATTGTTGCAACGAATTGGCTGTTTTAGCTGTACAGGAGGCGTCCCAACAGGTCCCTCGTTCCTTTTACTTTAATATTCTTTTTATTTTCTCTATTGTTAATTTTTCCTACCAAAAGCATCACTGGTAAACTCTGCGACTCTCCGTCGTGTGAGGAGAGGAGGAGGGGAATCAAACTGATTCGTGAGGTCAAACATCCATCCCTGAATCCTCATCAGCTCGTCCCAGTGATTTGATTTATGAGAGTTCCTGCGCTGCCTCGGGTGACACTGCCTCATACTGCCGGTGCTCCTTGTTCTCAGGTCCATTACCATGATAGAAAGGATCCACTGTGACATGGGTGCTGTTGATCAACTTCTGTAGGTCCTATACGTCTTTCTTGAATGTTTCATCTCTTCAGTGCTCACCATGCCAGTCCTCTCCTAAAGGCTGCCTACAGTTGGACTTCGAACAGAACTTATTAATTTCCACCTCCTTCTGGTATTGGTGTTTTGCGTCATCAAAGCTGTTTCACTGAGTCTGGATGTTGCGTCGGCGTATATCGCTGCGGTGTTGATAAGATCTATGTCATACCTGCAGAAACCTTTCTTTGACCACGTGATGCTCAGAGCTTCCAGCTGTAGGTGGTCACACACTCCGGCCTGGCTCTCATCCATATTCAATAAACTCCAAATAGATTATCATCCATCTGGCGTAGTTGTGGCGTCCTGTTGAGAAATACAGTAGGAACATCTTCTCCAGTCTGAAGATGAAGACCACATCGTTGGTGGTGATGGAACGAACATACAGTTGGTATATATCCAACAAGTTGCAGCACTGTAGCCAGAACTAAGCAGCAGCACCAGGCTACATGTCCAGTGTGTCGTGGCAGGACCTTTCACTCATCTCCATCAACGTTCTGAACTTCGCGATGACCTGGGGGACAGGTCACTGGGCAGCTGCTGCAGAAGTCTGGTAGTGGCACATCAAATGCGCCACTTTGTTCTACGAAACACCGTAAATGTTTGATCCTGATGCTACAGCTAACAGTGTGGGGAAACGTTTGGCTGAGTTGTAAAATGTTCCTTGGAGATCATAGCGCAAGAGAATGTCCATTAGATTTGTGGCATCAGCTGTGTTGTCATAATGATACTAATTATGTTTTATGGTGTTGGATGACATTTAACAGAAAAATACGTCACTATTGGTAGGACTGAACAAATCTGTCACACAATAATCTCACCACATTCACCATACAATATAATTTTTGTGATTTTGACACGTAAAAAAAAATTAATTTAGGTGAACAAGAGTTGCCCATCTGAGAACTAAACAAATTCTTACATAAAACTCAATGACCAGACCTTCCTGACTCTCTGACAAAGATAAATCGACCTGCCTGCTGGACTGGTTGGGTTACGTGAGTCGACTCCCTAACCCATCCCACCGTTTGTCTGCGACTGTCACGGGAGCAACTCCTCACCTCAAGGATTTTACAACAGAAAGTAGAATGGATCCGCTACCGAGCCGTTTTGATAAGAAGAGTAATTATTATTATTATTATTATTATTATTATTATTATTATTATTATTATTATTATTATTATTGTTGTTGTTGTTGTTGTTGTTGTTGTTGTTGTTGTTATTGTTATTACTATTATTATTATTATTATTATTATTATTATTATTATTATTATTATTATTATTATTATTATTATTATTATTATACTTTCCCTCGCCCTAACTCCGGTTCTTTTGGTGTAGGATAAAACAGACTTGTGGCTTGAGTGGGTCACTACACGCCAGCAATCCCTCTTAATAAATGAAAAACAAATGACTGTACTAAGTGTAAAACGGGTTTATAATGTTTTAATGGTTCGGTATCATTACAGGTGATAATTGTGTTGGAATTACTCACTGGAAACAAAAACAGTGAATTATATTTATTATTGTTTTGTTTTCTGTAATGACATAATTATTAGTAACATTGATATAAGAGAATGTAGTGAAGGGTGGAGTAAGTGAGGCACTCTTAACTTGCACTCGGGTAAACATAATATGATAAGTTAGAGACGCTTTAAAGTCATGAACACGTGAAGTCTTTTATCTGGGATATATAATTCTCTATATCTCCCTCACACAGAATGTCTAAGTACCGCCCTTGTC